AGATGGAGGACCTTGCACTTGGTCTTATTGACCTTCATAAGGTTGGCCTGGGCCCACCTTTCCAGCCTGTTGAGATCCCTCTAGATGTCATTCCTAATGGATGGAGTTGTGTTGGTGTATTTTTCATCTGTTACTATTTTTCATCTGTTACTAACACCTGATGCACAATTTTGTGCTATTTAGTTCTAGGTTGCATTTTTTTTTTGCCTTTTTTAAGAGGACGTAGAGAATAAAGCTTTCTAATCCAGCTATTTTAGATGATCTCATTAAATAAATAAAAATTTAAAAACATAGTAACATTTTGTTTTAATATCTTTGTGAATTTGAAATTCTGTCTTGTAAGAATAATACTTTTTGTTTGAAGGATCCAAGCAAGGAAAGAAGAGAAAACTCAAGGATGCCAGTATACTGGCATCTGCAGAAGAGGTGAGCTCGATCAGTGCTTAGCAAAAAGCAATCAAGCATTTTACCTGTTTCTTTGTGATAAAATACTAAAATTTCTCTCTTTAAAGTTTGGCTATCTGCTGGATGAAAATGCTGGGTCTAAGTTTGACAATATTGGAATGAACGCCATGGCCAACAGGGATAATGCAAGTAAGTACATGCTACAAATACCAGAGTTTTAATGTTCTACTTCTTTCTCTTCAGGTTCTGTACTTAAAAAGATGTACCTGCTTAACTGAAATAAGCACATGGTCAGAAATCATACAGTAGGGACAGTAGCTCAACATCAGCAAGATGTGACTTAGTTTTCTTCAGTTATGAGAGATGCCCAGTGCTAACATTAACTGTGAGTACTGGAGTGAGTAAGGCTTCAAAAAAGAGGAAGAGGCTCTTGTGTGGCCCTTCCACGCTGTAAATGAGGACAGGCAGTGCTACTTGTCATGCGTTCATAAATTTTGCTCTGATAAAGTGTCCTGGATTCTTGTGACGGGGAGGCACAAGGCATGGCTGTCTGCCTACCTATCGGAGTATTTGCTTGCAGTATTAGTGAACCAAAAGGAGTTTTCCAGAAATAATTCTAATGAATTGAATGTGTATATACTGATTGAACAATCAGTCCTTTATAGAGCTTTTACAAGTCTTACAGGTATAGTATTAGTAAAATACAAAGCAGTGGCAAGAGCAGTCTTAAACTCTGAGGTTCTGAGATGGTAGGGTATGTTTTGTGAAATGAAAAAACCAAAAACTTTCTCTGGTCTAAAAAAAAGTTGGCAACTTGCACTTTATTAACATTTACAAATACAATAGCCAAATTCTAACTTTTACATGATTCATCCGTATTCCGCATCATGGTCAGAGGTATCCATTGGCTCCTTATTTCTCGCCTTTCCTCTTACAGATATCAAACAGATCCAATGGGAAATAGAGCGTGACAAGTGGCTTCACAATAGGGATGTGAAAAGCATCATCAAGAAGAAGAAACAGTTCAGACACAGAGGACTGAAAAAGAAGTACAAAGGCAAAAAATCAAAAAGATGAACTGGACGTTTTAGTGTGGACATTTGACAATAATTAAGTATTTTTTTAATTAATCACACATCTTTCTTACTTCAGTTCTTGCTGCTTAACCATGTAATTTGGTCATTCTCCCTTATGCCGTGAATTCCAGCCCATTCATTGGATTTGTAATACACTGAAAAATAGGAAAAATCCATGTCAGCTCTCAGGCATGTCTGAAGATAAGCCATTTGTGGCTAGTTTTGGTGGATGTTTAGTCCTCCAGTTCTGAGACTCTGTCCAACAGTCTGACACTCCAGCCACACCCATGCATAACAATAAACACTTCTGCAGTGTCTCCTGGGGTAAGTTTTAAGCAATAATAAAGTCAGTTTTATACATAAGATGCAACAGAAGCTTCAGCCAACAACTACAAACCTACCTTCCAGAATTGATGGAAACCTCTTATGCATTGTGTATCTGAAATCTGACAAGAAAGGTAAATCAGAGTTACTTTATCCAACATAGTTTAAGGCAAATAATTAAATGCACTATTTTTCCAACTAGACTTATTTTTCCCTATATTTCTGTGAGCTCCTTAGTTACGACCGCCATTAAATAACGTGATCTGAATTTACCGTTGTTTTTTTTGTTTTTAATTTTATCACAGATGATATTTGGGTTACTTATGTCCAACCCTATCATCACAGCGTTTTCTGAGCTTCCTCAAGATTGTGATAACCAAATACAAGCTACAGATTCACAGGAAGATGAATGCCTCTCACAGACTGACATGCAAATGAAAACTGGGAAAACTGTTTTTTTTCCTTAAGCAGCTTTATGTGTTCGGTGAATCCTTCTGTGGAGCACTCCAGCAACCTAAAGCTATCATCGTGTGATTTTCTTTTATGTTATTTTTTGATAACTTAGAGCAGCTCATAGAAGGATCTTATCAATGCTAGTACTGGCATAAAGTGGTAAAAACTTCATTGTGAGTGCACCAAGCTGTTTGATGAGCTCACTGCACCTCACAGAACTAAAAGAACCACAGCTTAAGAAAATCTGCCCAGGCATACACGAGCTAGGACCTAGGAGTGAAAAGAGGGAGAAATAAGAAACCATGAATGCCCAGCACCAAGTTACCAAGATAGGGCAATGCATCTGTTATCCGCATTTTGGTTATGTATTTTTTTAAATAAAAATGCAGAAAGATAGCTTAAGTGTAACAGCCCACCAGCACCTGAACCTGGGAATGCAAACTGATGTAGAGTAGGGAAAAAAAGTGTAAACCCACACTATAGCCACAGCAGCCTTTTGGCTCACACTGACCCTTCGGGTAAGCAGCACTGACCCTTCCTGCAGGGGCACAGCTCTGTCCCTTACACCCGAGCTGTACCCTGCGGAGCCCTGAATGCATAAGGCCGCTGCTGTGCAGAGAAAATGTCCTTCCAGTAAGTAAGCCGGTGCTTGGCTTATTCTTCTGTTACCTCAGCACTAAGTCATGAGTTTCAGAGACTTCAGGGACTGAAGCTAAACCATCTGGAAGATGATGCTGTCTGGCTCATGCCATATCTACCTGGTAAATGTCCAAGTGAGACCTAGACAGGAGTCTGGGGATCGCTGCAAGGGCTGAACCCCAGCCGCCGGAAGCAGGGCTGATCACAGCCAGCCTCTCCCGGCTGAATCCCTCTTTGAACAAAGCGCGCGCCGCACCACCCAAACCCCCGGAGCCTCAGCTGCTGCTGGGCACGCGCTCCCGTAGTTCCCCCCGGTGCTGGGTTTCTAAAACTACACTAGCAGCTTCCCCTGAGGATCCGCCTAACGAGGGGCTGCTGCGTCCCGGGCCGAACCCCTGACCCCGGCGGGGCCGGTTTTGTTAA